ACTACCACCAGGCATTAATGATGGACCATAACGAGCTCCATCTTCACCACCTGATACACCAGTACCAATATAAAGAAAACCTTTCTTTTCCAATTCTTCAGCTCGTCGCTAAAGACAAAATACAAACTGAATTTCTAACAAATCAATATGAAGATTTTCTTTCCATACCATTGAATCTTTATATAGTGAATTTCCACCATCAATAATAATATCACCTTGTTCGAGTAGTGGAATCTATTAAATACAAAATTAGATAAAGTAAATCTAGATCAATGTAATTACCAATGTTTGAATGAAATCATCAACAGCTTTACCGGCTTGAACTAAGAGCATAACTCGACGAGGTTTTTTAAGTAATTGAACGAGTTCATCAACGGAATGTGCACCAATAATGTTAGTTCCTTTAGCTTCATTCTGTAAAAAATGATCAACTTTTGATACAGTTCGATTGAAACAAGCAACCTAAAATAACATAAAATAAATTTGTATGAAATTAAATAAATATAAATAAATAATATACTGTAAAACCATGATCATTCATATTCAAAATAAGATTTTGGCCCATAACAGCCAAACCAATAAGACCAATATCAGCCCTATAATCTAATTTTGATACAAGAAATCATCAAACAAATAATAGTTACTTTTCTTTATTATTTGCAGCCATTATTGTATGGATTATTTGTCCAGAAGATGAATCTAAAACTTATGTAGAAAAAGAAAATGCTCGTAATGCTTGACAGTGCAAAAAGAAATCGAAAGTGACTCATCGATATCACTGTCCAATGAGTTAAAAACGACCTAGGAGTACATAAATAAATAAATCAACACATACAAGTAGACAGACAATTGAATCATGAACAGTTAACCAATAAAAACTATTTCTACGATGTTACTCTACGATAGATTCTAATATAAACATTGAATGATATGAAAAAAAGATTTAAGTAATCTAGAAAATCGAAACATTAGATGTCACTAGTTTAGTTTATCTAAAAAACAGTTTTAGTGGTCATTCTACTTCGAGATTTTGTTAACCTCCATGTTAAGTACAAAGATCTAATGTAGACTTCTACTTTAAAATAAACCTATGAAAGTTGAAAAATAAATGCATTTCAAAATTGATCGCTTATAATTGTTCTCATCTAAGTTAACTATTATTTTTATAGTGAAATATCAGATTCGAATCTGTTTCTTTCTAATCAAATTATTTATTTGAGTATCTCTGTAAAATTATTGCAACCTGCAACAGGGTTGTCGATTGTTTTTAGGAGTGGGGGAGGGGGGGGGGGGGATAAAAATTTGGCAGAAAGTCAATTTTTTTACAATTTTTAGTTCATCGAAAAATCTTTTAAGAGTAACAAACAAGATCATGTTCGTCAAAGAGCAAAGACACTTCCAAATATATTTAAACTTTCAAAAAATAAAGACATTTTAAGGTGCGAGCAATTCAAACTTCAAGTCATTTTTTTTGCCTTTTTTACATCATTTGATAGAATGTGGGCCGCTGATCACGAAAAACTTGAAGGACGTCGTTTTTTTCGAAAAAAAACTATTTCAAGATATGCAAAATTTTCTGCTATATTCTTGTTTCCAGCTTCTAAAGATATATTTTTTAGATTCAGCATCAAAAACTGAGTGCAGGCAAGTTATTAGACCGACCCTGATCTTAAAAATATTTTTGATGACGGCGCTTCGAATCGCACCGAGTGCAATACGCATAGGTCGATTTTGTAAGCCTATCTAGATTCTTAAGTAAGAGATGAAGTCAGATATTTTATCTCATTGAACTCATCATACCACCAGTCACAAAAGAACGCATCATGTTTTTTTTTCTTTTCTTTTCTTTGTTGAGAAAAATCTGTTTTTCTGAATTTTGGGCTAAATAGATGGAATTTGACTCGTATTTCTCCATTTTCTTCATAAAAACTAAGTTTTCATGCTATAATCTTATCATATTCGGAATCAGTACGAAAAATTAAATTGATTGATATATGATTTAACCTTTTCCATTAACTTCAGTTTTTTAGTTTTCGGAGAAGGCCTGGCTGAAATTTTCACCAAAAAATTAAAGGTAACGATATTTTTCGAAACATACATCAATCGATTCAGTTTTTTGCGATGCTTCCGAATATGATAAGGTTATTGCACGAAAGCTTAGTTTTTATGAAGAAAATGAAGAAATACGAGTCAAACTCTATCTATTTAGCCCAAAATTCAGAAAAACAGGTTTTTCTCAACAAAGAAAAGAAAAGAAAAAAAACGCGATGCGTTCTTTTGTGAGTGGTGGTATGGTGAGCTAAATGAGATAAAATATTTGACTTCATCTCTTACGTAAAAAAACTAGATAGGCTTACAAAATCGGCCTATACGTATTGCACTCGGCGCAATTCGAAGCACCATCATCAAAAAATTCTTTAGATTGGACTCGATCTGACAACTTATCTGTACTCAGTTTTTTATGCTGAATCTGAAAAAAATATCTTTAGAAGCTGGAAAAAAGAAGGAAGCAGAAAAGTTTGCACATTTTGAAAAAGATGTATTTTTCGACCCGGAAGAAGCATTTTCTGGCACTAAAAAATAATTTTTCATGATCAGCAGCTCGCACTCTATCAAATGATGTAAAAGAAAGGTGAGAAAAAAATTGCTTGAAATTCGCATTGCTAGCACTTTATATATAACATATTTAATGTTCACTGTGCCGATGACGAATGGGTTCGTTGAAATATAAATTATTTTGAATAAAATAAGTTCAATTCACTTTTACACGTCGTATATTGGACACAGATGGAATCACAACCCGACAATGAGCAGGAAAGCAGACCGAAATTCACCAAAAATTTTAGGCAAAGAGTACATATGAGCTTTCTGCCAAAGAAAAGTACTCTCAAGTTGATTTTCTGCGGGAATTTTGCAGAAGGGTGTGGGGTGTGGGTGGGGGTGTAGGTGT